ATGAATGCATCCTCGATAAGCCAAAAGGTCTCCTGACCCCTCACCCACTTGAAAATGTAACCGTGCTGCTGTGAACGCCCATGCTTCTCCATAAATCCCTGATATGAATAGCCTAACCGTGACACAAAAAAAGAGTATCTTATTGTCATTTCCTGTTCCCCTTTTTCCTATTCAGGGAACGTGAGCAGCCCTGCTATCGCATGAAGTGAATCTGAACAGCGTTGCTTCAGGCACATTCATGTGAAAGAGTGATCCTCTCCTTTTAGAAGGTGAGAAAATAGGAAAGGTTAGAGCACCTGACAAAAGAGATCTGCGAAGACAAACTGCGGCATTGATTTTGTGACAAAAATCAAACTTTGACCCAATGCCAAAAAAAATATACGGCACTGCAAAATGTGGTGTGTTGTTTTGAAATAAACTGAAGAGAATGAACATCCAGTATGAAAACAAGCTGTGGTTTCGTCACAGAATCAACCTGGAACGGCTTTGAAACCGATAAATGCTCACAAAGCTGAGGACTCATTCATATGTGACTCCCTTACGATTGATGCCATTAAAATTTGCCTCATCTGACGTCCAATTGTAATGCTGTGATATCTGGACACGTTTTTCCAGGCGTATGGACCAGTTTGTTGGCTGCCGGCGGCCTGGTTGGGTGTTAGGTTTGTGCAGGTGTAGGTGTTTGTGAGTCCGTGTCTCGCCTGTCTAAGGTTATCTCATCAAAAGCCGTGGGCTCAGTCAGAGCCGTGCAATCCATAAGTGTCTTTTTTTTTAGCTTGTGTGTCTGTGACAGGTGGAGTGAAGGATGCTCAATATCCCTGAAAAAAAAATATCTTGACATGTGACACCAGAATGTGATTTTAGTCAATGGTGACAAAACTGGATGTAATGATTCATATTCTGCATTATGGTTATAAATGTCAATTACTGCGACTAAACGCTCGAAATCAAACAGAATTTCAGAAGAGAGACTTTTACATAATATTTCTCAACAACCTTTCATGTAGTCAGTTTTTTCCCTACTACTTCTACCACGGCTCCCTTTTACTTCTTGTATTTTACTATTATTATTTATATTTAATCCCCACAAACCTTTTTCTCTAAAACAACATACCTAAACAGCTAAACTGGATTCTCATTGACGGTTTGAAAGAAATACAATTTCCCCATGACATCTTATGTGGGACCGTTATTCTTAAGCTTAACTTTTTTCCTCTCACAATTTTCTTTCGTTTGCTTTTTGGTTACATCGTAGACAACATAACTACTTGGTTATTTTTAGGAACATTTCCTGCTTTGTGTTCAGATTTAACAACATGAACTATGTGCTAGATGCTTGGTTAGGTTTAGAGACCATACCTACATGGTGAGGTTGAGGAAAATGTCCCGGTTCAGGTTAATGGAAGCCCTTTGACAACATGTATGAGGCTTTTTTTATTTTATTTTTTGCATTTTCAGGCCTACATGGGTGACAACACACACTCCCACTAATGGCAACAGTAATGAACAAATGGCATAAAATGTGTTCCCCCCAAATGTGACTGACAATGTTGTCTAGCTGTAGACTAGTCTGACTCACAGAATGCAGATTACAGATATTAACCTGTCAATGGCCACAAATTTCATGCAGTTTTCTGTTCCCCCTTCTGCTGTCTACATGGTACCACCAACTTGACTGAAAACCTCAAATTTGGATGGTTTGGTTCAAGCAGTGAGGCAGCTCTGCCTTACTAACTTTCATGACCCTTCCCTGCATGCCAATCTTCCACCAAGACAAATCCCCTGCCACTATCTGAAGAGGAGACCATTGATATAGCACAGCCCAAGATGAATGGAATTGGTTTAAAGAAAAACAAACAGGCCAGAGCAAGTTTTTATCTCCTACAGCAGACTAATCATGAAGTCCAGTCAGACCAGTCTACACAGCACTGTATCAACGCCTGAGAATGGTCCGGCTACGCAAGACTACATCTACAGAAACTTCATTTTTAGGAGACGGAGCTAATGTTTTCCTCTACAAACTGATCTTTCACAATGTAGCTCCCATTACTGCGATGTCTATATTATGGCATAAACTCATCTGCACCATCCCGTAGGTATTACATCCCATGTTTTAACTTTCAGAAGAAACCACAGAATTCTGCTTAAAAACTTGGTATCTATATGTTTCAGATCCAACTTGTAGCTCACTGGTTCATATCTTTTGTACTCTCAGAAACAAGTTGAACAACAGTGCGTGCAGTTCCCAGGTGGGACCATGTGAACTGTGGCGGGGGGGAAAAAAAATAAAAAAAAGTGTTTGGAATGAAGCAGCCAAAGAGCACGCGTGTCGGATAAAAGGATCAAAAATCAATAGCTGGTCTCATTCTAATACAGTGTGACAATGTGTGACATAAATCCAGCTGGGCTTGTAAATGAGCCAAGTCTCATTGGTATTCCTGGGTGCTACTGCTAGGTAAGAGGTATCGACGAGCAGATGGATGCACGTGGCCTTGGTGCGTGACTCTGGGCTTTACTACAACATACTGCATGTTGTATGTTTGTCCTTCAAGGCGAGTCGGTTAAACCTTTAACGGCTAAGTTTTCTGCATATCTGGTTGTTGTTGTCGATGGTCGGACAGCCGGCCACATTGTCAGACGGATTGATGGCGTCAACGTCGGGGAGGTCGTCAGGGGGCGAATATCAGAATTAAAAAGATGAAAGAGAGGGGAAAGATGCTGACAGGAATGAAAAGGGCATGATGGGAAGGGGGCAGGAGGTGAGATGGAGGAGGGGACTGATTGACGGTGTTATAGCGGCGAAACAAGCTGGCATCGGCCTTCTTTTTTTTTTTTTTTTGCCCTCCTCCACCCATCTGTTCATCAGGATTACTCATAGAGAGGGGAGGAGAGAGGAGAGATCACCGCAACCTGCCAATTCAAACCACCTTTTCTTTTTTTTTTTCCAGTCAAATAAACTGCTGCGATAATGACTCAATGTAAAAAAATAAATTAAAAAATGATGGCTCAGTGCAATATAGTGGATCGCTCTCAGGGGACTGTTCGGGTAACAATGATAGTAATGAAGGGTGGAAGCATTGTAGTGGTGTGTTATGTAATACCCTGCTGCTCTGCTTACTGAGGCTCCCTGCTGAAAGAAAGACGCTTTAAAGGTTTTGCACAAGGTGAATGCAGCACGCCAGGTAGTGGCTTTTTATGTACATTCAACGGTTTACGGCAGTGGGAAACCCCTCGTGTGTGATTCTCAGTGGTACTCTCATATATTAGTGCGTCATTCCCTGCATTTCTTGCGTGTTAAATGGCATCAATGCGCTGCTCTCCGCTGTGTTCGTTCAGCAGCAGGTGATGCCAGGACATGGTGGCTCCTATTTTTTTTCACATGCTGGGAGATCATAGCTCATCTTACCAGGCAGTGGGCATACTGTCGGATCGCCTCGCACCAGCTGATCTTGACTTTTTATCTTCCAAATCATGAGCCTTGACCTACTTCTTTGCACATGCATTCCATCACTTCCCATATGGGTGATTTTTCAGCATCAAAGAACACTTTTATTGGATTTTTTTTGTTTTTTTCCAAGCACAAAACAACAAAACTAACCTACACAAATTCAAATCACAGCCACACAGAGGTTCCACCAAGCGTAAAGCTACAGTCCTTTGCTTTGCTGACTTACTACCCATTGACTGCACACTGCAGATACAAACAAAAGGCACAGCCAAGACTGCAAAGGGCATAAATTAGTCACTGACTCTGACTCACGCTTCAACACTCAGCACTTTCCATCCATGCTAACTGACCTTTCTTATTTGAAGTACAGCCAGCATCTGCAAAGCTTAGAAAAGTCACCGAAAGGTCCTTGGAGGATATTTTCCCAAACGCAGAAATATACTTCAGTTTGTCAGAAACTGATATAATGTATTACTCACGTTTGGTTTAAAATCTAGCCCCTCAGGGCGGTGTAACACAACAGCAGCCGAGACGAAACGCATACACAAAATGCACAAGGGCAGACGTGACATCAGCAAAAAATTGTGCTCCAAGTCCAGAAGCTGTCCTGGACTTGAGGTTAGAGCATCGCAGGACGCATCTCCCTGGCACATTCAGTAACATCAGTGTGTACGTAGTACGCAAGAGCACAGGATAAACAGCTGCAGTGGCATTATGAGTGAGCGAAAGCAAAGGACAAGCAGTTTTTGTTGTCACTGGATCGTGGCGACCTGTTTCTGCTCTACGTAGCAGCATTATAGTGGTGATTACAAGCGGAGTCAATTACAATGAGAGCAAAAGTTTAACCCTCTGAGTCCCAAGCAATTACTGGACTCATTTTGCTCTTTGGTTCATTCTTTACTGCAAAATAAATTCCTAAAGACCACTATGGAAACAGCAGAACCATGGCTAAAGGTAGCAACAAGTCAGTTGTCTTGTGCAGCAAAACAAATCATGACAAAGGAAAAGAGAAGAAGCTCAATTTGAATGTCTTTGATTATTGAATTTACAAAAAAAAAAAACAACTTCTGGAATCAACATGCACAACATTTTTCCACCAAGACTGAAAAGACACAGTGACTCCAGATGCTATAAATATCTAATTACTTAAATTTTTTAACGTGTCTCCTCTCTGCTCTATAAACACAGACTGCAGCCAATAAGTCACTGAATTTTTGTCACATGATTGTCGATCACAGCTGAGTCACACACAACGTGATGACTGTGCCAAGGAGCATGGCATTTTTCGTTTTTTACTGAATCTGGTTAGAACAAATGGACTATTTGTGGTAAATTTTCAATGATCGAGTAAAGCGGTTTTGTTAAAAATATCCCGATCTGGTTATGTATTCCAATGGAACTGTGTGTTACAGATGAGTAGTTCAAAGACTGTACAGTTTGTCGCTATGATAAACAGTGTAGTTTTGGCACACCAACTTGTTTTGTGGTTGAGGATTTTTAGAGTAAAAGATAATAGCAAATGAGTGCAGATAGACACAAATCTTTGACTTACCTGTGTGGATTAAATCTCAGATGCTGTCTGTCCTCAGAAGGTGGTTCTGACCTGCAATGAGGAGGAAGAAAATAACCATGAATGGGGTGTTTGTTTTTTTTAGCCCAGATTGAACAATATGTTACCATCATTTCAAGAGTGTCCACCAGAACAGAAAATTTTGTTAAAACACTTCAAGTGCTGCTTCTATCAAGCTGCATTTATGCAAACTTGCAGCCGCATATTAGATAATCAGTGGCTTTCGCTACAAATGACTGATATGTCAAAGGTGAAACATTTCAAACTGTCCTTGTTTGATATGAAATAATATTTATGAAATTAGCTCATCTAGTGCAAGCAGATAAACGCACTCAAGGAAATCTAATTGACAAAAGGATTGATTTAGTCCTCGAAGCAGACAGACTTCAATTCATTCATCACATAAGTCTGGCGTCACACAGAGTCTCTCTCCAGGGAACCCAGCAAATGATTGCGTCTTGCCCAACACGAGGCCTCCAATCGATAACCAAAATTTCTCCTGTCATTTTTATTACTTTTACCTCCAGCCGAGGGGACCCACACAAATAAAAGGTTACCCACCAACACACACATTGTGCCCCCCCCTCACCAAGCAAGCTTCCCCTTCATGACCGCGAATGCATTATCATAATCTCCAGAGAGAGTCTCCATTCATCTCACATTAGCAAAACAAATGTGACGGACAAAGAGCGGAGGGGCCCATTTAGACGTGGAGCCATTAAAACTGTAGTTAGCTCAGAGGAGAACGATGGTGGATTATGCGAGGAGCCATTAATAAGGTGAGGTTGAGCTGTTTGAACTTATCGGGTAATGTAAAAAAAAAAAAAAGATGAGAAAGGAGGGGGGGGCGTCCGACGACATGGCTGAGTGGCTGTTGTTACAGAATGACCCAACCCAACCCCAAGCTGTGACCCATCAAAGCAGAGCCAGACAAAGAAGGGAAGATTATTTTTTAATGTGCAATATAAGCACCCTTAAAATTAAATTAACCCAGCCCGCTTAGTTTTAATTGAACTGAAAGTGTATCAGCCGAGCGATGTGAAATGTATCAGGATGAATCGGGTGAATTTAAGGTGGACTGATGTGATTCGAACCGAGCCGCATTGATCTTATCTCAGCTGAACTGAAACAAATTGAACCGAGACGAGAAGGAAGGAGATGAGGGGGGAAAGAGAAGAAGAAAAAAAAACAGAGTGTGGGATGTTAATGAATGGAGACAGCAACGCACTGAGACATCAGAAAACTGGCAGGAGAGGCAGAGCAAGGATGATGGAGGAAGGAGTGTCTGAGAGAGAGAGAGAGAAGAGGGGGAACAAACATGAAAAAATGAAGAGTGAGTGGGGATCAGAAACATGCATTATTAACGGGCGAATCTAAAAGCGCTTCATCACCAGAGTGCAGGAGGAGGAGAAGTGGAGGTGGGGGGGAGGTTGGAGAGAGCTGCAGAGAGGGAAGACGACGCCGGCTGGGAGGTGGCGGAAGAGCAAGAGCTGACCCCGTGATCCAGCACGTTACCATGGAGATGACAAAAAGAGACATACAGGCGAGGATGTCGTGCAGCAACGGAGAATGCAACTTCTTTTTAAAGAACTAGCTCAGGATTTTTGGGAAACCTATTTATGGAGTTAGATGAGATGGTCTCCTGTCTCTGCATCAGCTCGTCTTAGCATGAAGCATCTCTTCTTTGAACCCCGAAATCAGCCAAAATTACACCATTCACCACAGCTAAAAACTGAAAGAATCATTAGATTGTCAACATTCTGGGGGGTCCTTCACCTAGTCATCTGTGATGTGTTTCTACATCAGTGTATGTAACCAGATCTAAGCTTTAAATCATATTTTATTAAAATCATGTTATTCTGCATGCATAATGTTTATTAACCTTTTCCCTGAGTACACTCAAATAAAAACAAACAATAAAAATATAAAAATTCAGTGTTTTTCAGAGCAAATGTGAAGCCATGAGCGATTCATCTGCAACCAACAGTCATTTGACAAAAAATCAGGGACTTTTTGGCTAAACTTGGCTGAACTGCAGACTGTGTTGACACAAAGCAGATAGGAGACAAGTATGGAAACAAATTAATAATGTAAATAGTGAAATATCTCCACTATGTACAGATATCTGCATGTAGAATTTAACAAATCTTTAAAATGTATAACTTTGTCACTTAATAAAAAAATAAAATAAAATTCAGGGTTTTTCAGAGCAAACATGAAGCCATGAGTCACTCTCAAAAAAATGTTGTACATGTGGATTCCAGGTTTTTTCAGTTTAAAAAAATAACATAAAGAAATTCAAACCAATTTTCTGTTTTACAATAATCTATGGCCTTATAATTGGGTCATACTGCCCAGAAGACATTTTAAAGTTCTTCCAACCTCTAGTCATGGTCGGACTGTTTCCACTGAGGTGTGGGACTTAAATCAAAGATGTAAAAATGTGACAGGAGCAATAAACTCACAGAAACTTCCTAAAGTTTAGATGATTAATCAGCACAATCATGTGTAAAAATGGCAATTTGACAAGACTACAAGAAGTTAGTTTTTCTAATGGAGAAACAGTCCTGCAGGATGGATGATAAATGAACACATTAAGATACAACATGTTAATTAGTGAGCTGTAGAGGTGCAGGTAGGCGGTTCCTTCACACGGAGCCAAGTGAAGCAGCTGCCAGCTGTAGTTTCATATCTAACTGATATGACAGAGGTAACAGTCTTATCTAACTCTTGACAGTGAATCACTGTATTTTCCAAAAATGTCAAAGTCTTTTCCTGTCAGAAAATCGATCAAATTACCTGTCAGTTCTTCTGGTGTTCACTTTATTTGTGCTGATCTCATGTAATCATTTTCTTTTTGACGAGATATCAAACAGACGCCACGACATCTATTGGTTAAAGGTGTGTGAACTGCATTAACACACGTAAAATATTAAATACAAATCGGTGGAAGGCTGTAAAGTTAGTGTAACTGAACACAGCAAAAACTGTAAAAGGCTTCAGCTAACCAAGTGTGAAGCTACCAGCCGAGCTAATGATTACTGAAATACAGTCGCAGTGTGAAACATATTGATCCCAGCCCACCCTGACTCTGTTCTGAACAAACTTCATTGACAGGAGATGAGTCAAATAAACACTGTACTTGACATAGAGTTGAGTAAATGTTCTGAATCTGTTTGATGAACCTTCAGAAGAAGCAAAAAATAGTCTCAGTAAGGAGATAAAATATCTCTATGACAACAGCATGAATGTGAATTATAAGTTCTGGACAAGGCCTCTGTATGTTTTTACTGTCTGATCACTACGTCTGATTAGTAAAACTCTAGGTGTGGCGCAGCATCGCTTTGATTTACTGCATGTCTCCTGTTTCAATTAGCTTCCTGGGTTTATGGATCCACTGGGAGACGGTAAACTGCACCAATGTTGTGGCTGCGTGTGTGGTACAAAGGGGGGATTTTTTTTTCCTGACTGTGATAGAATAAGTGACCCCAGGCGTGAATAGAAATGTGTAATCCCTCAGGCTGAGGGGCCTCAGCGATCGGCGACGGTAGCAGCTGCCCGAAAAACACACTTAACACAAGCTTCAACTGGCTGGGCTCCCGACCAACTTCTACCTTCATCTGAGTCTGGCCCACAAACACAAGAACATGGAACCCCTACATCATTTCACCCATTCAGTGTGAGCGGATAGGACTTTAGTGTCCAACATGTAATCCCAAGAAAAACTAGATGTAAAGGATGCAGTGCTTGTCTGGTCATCTGAACCCTTTAACCTCCAAGTCTTAATATATAAACTCCTTTCAAAATTATTATCTATTGAAAGGTTGAACACTTTTAGGTAAAAAGTAATAAAAATCCTTTTTATAATTTCATAAATGTTCACAAATTAGATCAGGAAACTTTGTAGCTTACTCTGTAGTTGCAATGTCTGTATTTTGATATAAATTACATCTATGATGGAAGGATTTTAGCTCTAATTTCTAGCCCTAAACATGTTTGTGGCTACTGTATTGTCCTTGTGAATATTTCCTCAATATGCTGATGGAACAAAGTATATAATTCAGATCAGTCACTTCATTCCAAACGACCACTGCAGGGATGGCTGTCTGTAGTCTGAAGTAGCGATAGATCGATTATCGGCCTGGCTGACTATCGATAGATTAAATGCTCAACATCAGTTCTGATTCAACCACCTCTCTTCTGTTTGTTGTGACTCTGTGGTGTCAGAAATGTCTCTCAAACAGAAACTGCAAAAACTGAATAAGAAACACAAGCCGTTGCCACAAACGAGGAAATTAGCTCACAGTGGCTAATGCTAACGGCTAGCAGCTAAATTAGAAGGCAGCCACAGATTAGTGTCTGGAAAACAATAATTGATAAAGTTGTAAGATCTGGACATTAGTGGGCAATAAAAGTAACAGAACATTGAAAGATTAAGAAAACAGAAGAACAGCTGATGTAACTGATCAACCTCAGTCGATCCCATGTAAACAGATCAGACTGTCCTAATTTATTCCCTCCATATTCGGTTATAGTCACCCTTATTAATGATGATGCCGAGTTATGAATGACAGGTTATCTGCTATCACATGCTGTTAAAACATTATATACAACATATAACTGTCCCAAATATTGGATATCGGTCTTTGTTATGTACAAATAATCAGCAATGGACCTAAAAAAATCCCCCTCATATCTGTCGATCCTTAGATTGAAGCCACTTGCTAACTTAATCAGTGAGTTTCTATAATAACCTTCTCTATAAATGGATAAACAATAATAGTGTTATTTGATCATGTAGACCTACTGGCTAAAGAGGCATTTTGACATTTTGCAGGTTGCAAATTGAAATTTTAGAGAGACTTTCTAGATCAACAGTGACGCGTTTGTTCACAGAAATAATTAACATGCTAAAATAAACTGCACTGAATATAATAGAAAGTCACCCAAAAAAACAGTGTCCTGTGTTTACCCACATAGATATGTACAAAATCCAATGTGTTGGTGTAATCAGTAAGGTCTGAAGCTTTAATT